GGGATTCGCTGGGGTAGATGTGTTGGTTGGTTTTTTTTTTTTTTTTTGTCCTTCTTTTTTGGTGGTGATGGAAGCGATTCTCGAGGAAAGAATAACAAACTGTGGGATCTCAGCCGCAGGCGGGAGGAGAGGGGCTTTGCCCACGCAGGTGGAACACAGACAAGACCGCACCGAGGAGCGGGAGGCCGGAGCCAGCCGGGAGGGTCAGAGAGCGCCGGGGGCTCATCCCGGCAGCCGCGGCCGGGAGAGGACGCGCCCCTCGGGGCGGGGGCGAGCGGAGGAGGGGGCGCGGGGAGCCGAGACCGAGGTGGGGGCAGCGCTGGGGCCGGGGGCACTCCGGGGGCTCAGCACGGCGGGGACAGGGCTCGGCACGGGGGCAGCGCGCCCGCAGGGTGCGGGTGGCGCGGCACCAGCCTCTCTTCCTCCGCCTCCTCCTCCTCCTCCTCCTGCGCCCGCAATCCAGCGAGGCACGGCGGCGATAGCGACCGGGTAAGAACATACCCTCGGCCAGCCCTTTGTTTCTCATCTTTTTATTTCATATTTTCCGCAGCCGTGCTCCCCGGCCGGCGCCGCTCCGCCTCGGACCCCGGCACGGAAGGGTTGCGGAGATCCCTGGGCGGGGAAGCGGCTTTTGGGAGAGACCCCACGGCCAGGAGCGTTTGCGGGGCAGAGGGGATGGGCGGAAATTCCCCTGCTCATCACTCGTGTCCCTCTCCTGCCCCGGGTAAGCGGAGCATCGCCCCTCCATTTCCCCCGCTTCTCGATGCTGCCAGGCTCTCGGCATGGAAATAATGACCTGGCTCGGTGGAAACATCACCCTTCGCATAGTGGCTCCGGAATACGTGCGGAATTTGAAGGTGTGTGAGGTAGAGGGAGGCAGCGCAGCATTTATGGAGCTTGATGTATGTCCCCCTCCTCTCCTGGTCCCTCTTCTACACCCGTGCTGTGAACAGACACGCGGTCATGGCTAATAAAAAGGCTTTTCCCCGGGCACAGCCGGGCTGAGAGCCCAGCGCGAGTGAACGGAAAGGCAGA